AAAAGATATATTAAGTGGAGATTATGGACTTGTTTTCAGTTATACATGCTGTTTATATTCGGATCAAAGATTAACCAGGTCCATTAAAGTGATATTAACAGTAGCAGTATTAACAGTATAACAGAAATGGAAGAGGCCTTGGAGGTCATGCCAACAGATCATGCCACACTAAAAACAGATCATGCCAAACCAATCTTATTTCATTCTTTAGTCATGTGACTAAATTGGTGGACCAGCGGAATGCTGTGGACGTGGTATACGTGGATTTCAGCAAGGCATTCGACAAAGTAAACCATAACCTACTTCTTGGAAAGCTTAAAAAAGGTGGGACAAACAGCATCACCATCCGATGGATTTTTAACTGGTTGACAAACCGCACTCAAAGAGTAGTCCTTAATGATACTACGTCTACATAGAGGGAAGTAAGCAACCGGATACCACAAGGTTCTGTCTTAGGCCCAGTACTCTTCAACATCTTCATAAATGACCTAGATAAGGGAATAGAAGGGGAACTTATCAAATTTGCAGATGACACTAAGCTGGCAGGAATAGCCAACTCCCTAGATCATGGGTGTCAAACTTGCGATGTCACGTGATATGTTGTGACATATCTCGACTTTTTCCCCATTGCCGGCAATGGAGTGGGCACAGTTTTAGCATGATGCATCTGGCCTGCAGGCCGGCAGTTTGACACCCCTGCCCTAGATGATAGGCTCAAGATCCAGAGGGATCTTGACAGATTTGAACACTGGACCCTCTCTAACAAAATGAAATGCAACGTAGAGAAAAGTAAAGTGTTACACTTAGGCAAGAAAAACCAAAAGTACACACACAGATTGGGCAAAACCAGGTTTAATAGCAGTAACTGTGAGAGGGATCTTGGATTCTTAGTGGACAATCAATTAAATATGAGCCAACAGTGTGTGGCGGCAGCCAAACAAGCCAATGCAATCCTAAGTTGCATTAACAGAGGTACTAATACTACTCTACAAAGCCTTAATAAGACCACTAGAATACTGCAACCAATTTTGGTCTCCACGCTCTAAAAAAGATGTTGAGACTCTAGAAAAAGTTCAGAGAAGAGCAACAAAGATGATTAGGGAACTGGAGGCTAAAACATATGAAGAATGGTTACAGGAACCAGGCATGGCTAGTCTAGTGAAGAGAAGGACCAGGGGAGACATGATAGCAGTCTTCCAATATTTGAGGAGCTGTCACAGAGAGGAGAGGTTCCACCTATTTTCCAAAGCACCTGAAGGCCAGATAAGGAACACCAGATGGAAACTGATCAAGGAGAGATTCAACATGGAAATAAGGAGAAATTTCCTGACAGAACAATCAACCAACGGAACAGACTGCCTTCAGATGTTGGTGGTTCATCTCTAGAAGCTTTCAAGAAGTGACTGGACTGCCACCTGTCAGAAATGGTGTAGGGACTCCTGCTTGGGCAGGGGGTTGGACTAGATGACCCACAAGGTCCCTTCCAACTCTGTTATTCTAAATTCTTCTAGTCCAGGGGTGTCAAACTCGCAACATCATGTGATGTGTCACGACATATCGCGACTTTTT